TATATATCAAACACGTACACTGAACCAATATAATGTGTGGTTAAATAATAAAATTTCTTAATTTTATTATAAATAGTTAATATAATCATAATAAACTTTATTAGCATAAAATATTAAACTCTATTATGAAAATTATTTATTATGAAATTACTTAATATTTAACTAATTATATTAAGTTATTCTTTGATTCACTATAAAGTTAATATAGAGAAACTGGTATGAGAAATTAGCTTAGTTACATTACACAAAATAAATACAGTAAATAGAAAATTTTTTTAAATGTTAAACATCCTCTTTCCTTTTTTAATAATAAAATGCCGTGTTTAAAATTATTTTAATTTAAATTAGTATAATTTTTAAAATATTTTTTAAAACTAAAGAATCGTTAGATATTTCAGATACAGTGAATAGTTACAGTACTGTATATACAGAAAGACTTATTCGACAAAAGTGATAATACCGACCTCTGCTTCTGTTTGAACTGTTTAAACTGTCAACTCGAGAATCGATAACATTAAAATAGATGTCAGATCAAACTCAGATTTCACACTGCAAAACTGAAAAAAATGGAGTAATGAAGTATTATATTTTATTTTACAACAATAAACAATATTGTGAACAATTTAACCGTTAATTTAATATGATTTTAACAAGTTTATTAACTATCTATTAGCAGGTTTATAACAGTTTGTATATCTGTAAGTAAATTAATAAATAAATTAATGTTAAATGTTTTAACAATATTTAAAACAACAATTATAAAGCATAGTTAATAAAAGCTATATTACTATATGAAAATTTCTAATAAAACGAATATATTTACACATAGAGCAAAGAGCATTAAAACTTTTTAATGTTGTTTTTTTTAAATATAAACGCACGAATTCTTATAAAAAAAGACAAATTGAAAATAGTTATTTCAAAGGAAACCATGTAATAATTTATGGAAGTTCTATTGGCCTAACCATTGCATTTCAGGAAACTACTGTAAAATTTCCTAAAATTCGTACAAAATTTTAATTATAGTTTCATTGAACCAAGGGGGGAGAATATATTATAATAATGTACAGAGAAAAAAAGTAAATTCCAAAAATAATTTTTTTTTCTTTTCTTACATTTGTTCAGTACATTGGCATACCGCAACGTAGAATATTTTAAAAATTATATTTCAGAATATTTTTTAATTTAATAGATTTGTAAATTAAAATTTTATAAAGAAATAATTAAATAATAACATTTTTTTAGTAAAAGAAATTATTTTTTAGATTAAAATAAACTTTTTAAATTAACTTTAAATAATGAAAAAAGGACAGTCAAAATCCGAACGAATATATTTAGAGAAAATAACGTTATAAAAACGATAAAATTAACAATTCAAAGGACAAATAAATAATTTTCCATCTGCTTTTAAATAAAATAATTTGGAAAAAAAAAATAGAAAAAGCTTTAGAAAAAATAAACCAATCAATTTAAAACCAAACTAAAATTCCGAAATGTAAATATTAACAAAAAATTAATTTATTATTAATAAGAAAATAAGAAAAAAAAGTTAAATATAAAAGTAAATTAAAAATTGTTTATAGAAATATTTATATTTTTTCCTGAAATAATTTTAAATGTTTTTATGAACAAAAACATACTTATTTCTATACACAATCACATATAAATTTATTTTAGTGAAATATTTTGGGATAAAATAACAATAACTTCTAAACGTATAAACCTTATAATAATAATGATTAATTTATATCTAATAATCTCTAATAATCTAATAATTTATATCTATTAGAATGAATTAATCACATAAACATATAAATAATTTTTAATTATAAAATGTAAAATAACTATTAACATATAATGAAATAACCAATGTTTATAAAAAAAATAAAATTATTGATCATATCATAATATTTTTTAGAACTAAGTTTTATACATATTATACATTTAATATCTGTACAACTATACATTAATTTAAGATTGATTTAATGTCTCTTAACTAAAGAAATAGAATAAAATATATTATTAATTGAAGTATATAAGTCCATTTGAATGAAAAAAAATTGATGTGAAAGAATATTAAATAAATTAATATTACACGATTTGAAATGACAATAATAAATAATTAAAATATAGCAGTTACATTACATCAGTATTAAAAATATCACAGAACAACACATTTAAGGAAAAGGGAGATTATCTAAAAGCGGACATTAAAAACCTATTTGAAATATATCTATTAATTAATAGACGAAACAAAAAAATTTGATAATTTTTCTTATGTTTTAAAAGCTTTTTTGCTTAAATTTAAAACCTTTAAATTATCAGGATTCGTTTCAATTTTAATTGATAATTAACATAGTATATAAAAACCATAATCTCGAAATAATAACATAATTAGATTAATTCAAAATAATTAGAAATCACTACGAAATCAAAATTTCAATAATATCAATTATAATTTTACTTAAAAAATTGAAATAAAAATCAAATTTTTATAGGAAATAATTTCGAAAAATATATTATTAAAGATTTTTTAAATGATTATAAAACTTTTATATCTATCTAAAAGGAAAATTTAAAATTAAATAGGAAATTATTAGAATTGAAATAATAATAATAATAAACTATATACATATGTGTGCTTTATTCCGAAATAATAGAACTCCAATTAGATGAACATTTTAAAATATTTTTATTTTTTTATTACTGAATTTTTAAAAGAAAAAAAAATCCACTTTGATAAGTGACGTCATCAGCACTTATCGTCGGTAGAAGGCGCTGATTGCTGTTTTAGGCAGACGATCGTCTAGCATCTGAACGAAGAGCATCGTTTGGTTATCTCTCGCCTTTTAGAAATGACGGTGTTCCTCGAACCACTTCCATGTTGGAATATAAATTCAATAGGAACTCGCCGAATATAATACCAGGTAAATAATCGGATGTCAGTTTGATTTCTTTCTACAAATTTCATCCTTAAAGCTAAGCCTTTTATCAAAAAAAGTAATGTTTTGTTGTTAATAATTTCCTTACGAAAAATTCGCCCTTAATTCATAAATATAATACAGTATATATGCCTATATGTTTTAAAATCTAATATGATTGCATTTAGTATAACCTATATATTGAAATATTAAGAAAAAGTACGATATTGTTAATACAAAAATTGCTGTTTAAGCTGTTTGTGATATAAAATTAATTCTAAAAATAACATTTTAAGGTAGAGTTTATTAGATCATAATTAATATCCAGAAATGAGTAACTTAATAATTTTGCGCTGCTGTTTGGTAAAGCTTTCATTAAAATGCTATTCTTGAATAGACTGGATTTGAAGTACACCTGGCATCCCGTACAGTGAATAAATTTATCTAATTTCTCATGCCGTTTTTATAGTAAAATAACAATAACAACAATACTAATCTTATGTTTTTAGTATTAATAAATAAATATAATTTTATATTAACAATAAAGATTACTTAAATAATTTATACAGAAGACATCTTATAAAGTACTAATTGTAAATCTTAATTATTCTATAGATTTTATTTTAAATAACATTGTTATTTTTGTTTTAAACATTTACCTTATTAAATTCCAATACAAGTTTTATCAAATAAATATACTTTTTCATATAAAAAATTTTTAAGATAACTTAAAATAAATTTTCGAATTAAAATTTAAAAGATTACAATTTTAAACCTAAAATATAGCAGCCAAATAATATCTGTTTATACAGTAGTTTAAGTGCTGCAATTAAATTTAGTTTATTCGGTTTATAAGTATCAATTAATTATTAATAGTTTTAAAGTGTGTCGTCCGTATATGTGGAAGTTGGAAAAAATATGAAATAATGAATAATGTTTGTAAATGTTACAAATAAATCTGCCAAATATTAAACACACACACACACACACACACACACACACACACACACACACACACACACACACAAGGCTCTATATATATATATATATGTCTGTGTGTGTATTGTGTACCTATGTTAAAAAATTAAGTTTTTATTATTTTCATTGTCTTGGTTTGTTAAAAAATAAAAATGGATGAAATGAAATTCAATTTAAAATGATTAATCTTTTATTTTTCATTTTATCATCTCTTAAAAAAGTTTAAATATTTGGAACCGGATACGAATGAAATGATGCTTATAAAATTGTGAGTTTATCGACATTGTAACATAAATCATAGTCGATATTGGTAAAACATGAATTGATTTTATTGTCACTTGCCATTCTATAATTTCCTTTTGTCATTTATCTATTTGGCGGTTTAGTTATTCAACCAACTGGAAATCTTTAAATGAAAGATAAATTACTATAAACATTTTCAATTATAATTAAGTAAGAAAAGATTTATAAAACGAATGTCAATTTTTTTTTTCTTTCTAGGCTGATAATGCATCAAACTAATCAAGAAAGTGTATCTATAAGAAATACTGAGCATTCAACTAAAAAGAAACCGTTTGATATTTTAACTAATATATTCAGGTGAAATGTTCTTTAAAATATTTTTGTGGAATTATTTATATTTTTAAAATTAATACTCTATAAAACTCATACGTTTCTAATCATAATGTTTCAGAAGTTTATTTTCAAAATTTTTGCGTTTCTACATGACTTTTTAACTTTGTTTGCTTAAACTCAAATTAACAAAATTTATTATTATTATTATGATTAACAGAATTTTAAAAACTTATCCTACATAAAATACAATTTTTACTGTTTATTTTTAATTTTGAATACAATTGAATTAAATTATTTCTTCAAATTTTAAAACTGAAAATTTTATATTAAATTTTTTTTGGTATAATTTTATATGTTTTAATTGAATTTATTGTTATGAGTTTATGATTAAAATAAACATCAATTTGTTTATTTTAACTATATATAATTTGCAACTTTTTAATGTTTATTTTAAAAGTAAAATATTTTATAAATTTTAGTCACTGAAACTAGGGATATTAAACTATATAAAATAAAATCATTTATTAAAAGAGCCATGTAAATGAATATTATCGAATTGTTATAATTTTTCGATAGTATGGTCATGAAATACAGTAAAGCAGGATATAAAGAATTATTATTGTCTTTCCAGTTTTTATGTAATTATACAGTCATATTCTAACGATACGCTGGAAAATTACTTGTGTGACCTAGCGAAATTTAACTATTGACGTTTTTTAGTTATTTACGTAGGCTATTTGTTATATAATTTTCAAAGTAATGAATCATTATAGTAATATGTAACTAAAAATATGATCTTTGTTTTAATATTTTTCATCTTTAACACAATCGAAAGTAATAGTTCTAGAGTTTTTTCCTTCCAACATTCTTTTGATTAAATTTTTCGTTCACTATCAATAACATTTTACTGTTTTACTGAAAAGAAGTCTTTCTAAAGAAATTTAATTTTAGAGCATTTTTAAGCATTAATCAGCTAGCAGTTCATTCTATAACAGGAGTGAGAAGAACTTGCGAGCCACTTTCGTTCCGTGAATACGGATAATATGGTACATTAACGTTTTCAAATTTATAGGCCAACCTGGCAACAGTGTCTTTTTGAGAAATAAATAAAAAAAATAAAAATATATACTAAACGGAATATCTTAAATTTGTATTTTGTTTTCTTATTAATAAAATTAATTATATGTACAAGCTTGTATACATATTACAGTAAATATCATAAAATTGTTTAAGACAATGTTTTCATTATATGCCGTTTTGTTAATCTAAAAAATAATTCTATAAATCACGGAAAACTAAAAAAAACTGGCTCGCGTGTATCTTCGACATTTTATTTGACCTGCTGTTTAAAAATGTTCATCCTGTTCTATAATATAACACGATATGCAATTTTGAACATAGTCTCACTAGTAGTAATAAAATAGAAAGATCCGCTAAATAACAAAATCAATAGATTAGGGTGGTCCTTCAATAAGTGGAAGTAAGTTATTGCCATACCTATGATATAACAAAATAGTTAGATATACAAGAAATAAAAAACATTCTATAATTAACTACATGCTGTGCTTTTACACGTTTAATTTTGTTCTTATTTAACTGTTTATATGGTCATCTAATAATGAGTTTTATTCCTTTGAATGACGAATTCTAGACTAATCTGCGATCTTCTACTTTCACTGATTCAGCATTTAGTTTGGTTCATTTAACAAAATTATCAAGATTGAGAGCAATTCATCGATCTAAATATGAATTAAATTAACAATTGACTAAAGTAAAACATGTTTTAACTTGATGTTTTACAGGTAATAATATGATATCATATTAAAATGTTAGTATTTGCAGGAATTTCTTGAAACCTTAACAAAAATTTTTTCATAAATTCTCAATAAAATTATACTGTATATCATGATATATATAGGGTAAAATCGGGTGAGACGCCTATAGTTTTTATCAACGCATATAAGTCGCTTAACTGTGGGCTTCAGAAGAAGTAAATATATAACGTATATAAGCTAAGTGTTATCTTTTAACAATAGTGAACAAAATTAAAATCTCGACGTAACATAGAGGGAGTAACAAAATGATACTTGTCCGTTTTGAACATTTATCCCATATCTCCGAGAGAGTTGCATAATGCTTAAATGTGAGATATCTATTTTATTTAATACTTAATTTCATCAACATTTTGCGCTTTGTGTACTTTTCACATTCGTTATACTTTTGTAACATACCGTACATTGTACTGTACATGTTTCATGACTATTTTTTCACATTGCGCATCGAATCCAATCGGCTTTACTAGTCTTGATTTTGTGACAATTATATGTCATTTTTTTATTTTGGGTTCCTAACATTGAATTTGATCTGTTTGCTAAATTACTATCTTTATTCTGCGAAGAATGCGATATGGAATGTTAAATTCTTTGCTTGATAATAATTTAGATGATTAGTTGCCTATGTATTGCTTAAGCTGAAAGAACTAAGTCCTGTTCGGACCATTTTCCTCTATTGGCACCATTTTCCCTTCTTTTGTATTCACTAGGCATCTAAAATTAATAATTTTAATTAAGTTCATAATAAAAAATTTCAGAAAAATATGCATTTCTCCCTTAAATCCTATATGCATCTCACCCAAACCATATGGGAGAGAGCATATTACTATGTTTTAGAGTAAAATTATTAAGGATAGCCCTGGTTTTGACTACAATACAACCAACTAAATCTATACTTTCACATAAAACCGAAATATCTCATAAATATGTTCGAATTTCGGAACCTTTCGTATAAATGTAAATGTCACAAAAAATTTATATAGAGATGAAAAACAAACTTATTTTTAACGAAAAATTGGCAACTATTCGAAAAATAATGAAACATAAGAACGTTAAGAATAGTCAGATTAGTCACCATTAAACTGACCAGTGGCTTGTTCTACTGAGTATTATTTGAAGAAACAATCTCTAGGCATCTTACCATGATTTACTCAATATTTTTGGATAGCTTTTTAAAATTTAATATAATCTGGAATGTCTACCTTTAATGAAAATATTTAAGAAGAATAACGAAATACTTGTAATAAAGTTTAAGAAACTTAATGCAGAATTTAATTCAATTTTTTAAAGTTTTTTAAATTCTTGTAACATAGTTTAACACAATTTGAAATTATCTTTTAAAATATATATGCTATATCCATGATAACTATCAATACATAAATATTTTTGATCACTTTAAATTTACACAGGTTGCACCAAATTATACATGAAGATAAACTAATGGAATTTTTTTCTGTTTCTAATTTTCCTTTCTATGTATAATTCAATATTTTGAAAAGGAAATCTTTGATGTGATAAAAATTTTGTTGCTTCTATTTATTGAAATTGGAAGTTTGATTCAAAATGTACTTATAAAATAATGAACAAATACAACGTAAAACGCAAATAAGTGTCTAATAGAATAGAATATATTGATATATGTATATAGGTGTATAACATATATATAAATTCACATTCAGTACGAAAAATCATAAATCGAGTTGTTAATTAAAGTATCTACTTTTTTTAAAATCAGTTTTTCAGTTACTGCTTACATTTTTAAACTATTTTCAGTGGACAAGTTAGGTTTGTTTTCGAAAAATTTATGATTACAGGGTGTTCGAAAATTATCTGTACAATTTTAACTTTTAATGAAGTTTATGATGATACACGTAGGATTATTAAAAAAGAATTTTTAGAATCTGTATTCTAAAAATTTTGGAAAATACATTCCAAACTTTTTTTTTAAACTTTTAAAATTTGTTAACTTTGGAAAATACATTCCAAAGTTTCTTCTATTAAAGTAACAATATTATAAACATTAAATATGTGCATCATTAGTGATTCGCTAGACATTCAGTCGCTTCTCCAAATGCTGTCATGTACTGTACACTACAGAATTTCCACATCAAGGCCAAATCATAAGGTAGAATCCACATCGCAGACGCTGAAAGCCAATGCAGCAGTGTGTGATCTTGCTAAAAAATAATACGTGAATGCAATTTTTTCGGTTGTGGATAGGCAAAGTTTTGCAACAAGTCCAGATAGGTATTGGAGATCACTGTGGATTCATCGAAGAATAGCCAATCACAAAAAACCGTTTAAAGAAAGATTCTCTGTAAAATAACACAATGCGGGAATTTTAACACTTGTTGATTATCTATTATAACAGGCAGTTGTACAGATAATTTTCGGATACTTTGTATTTTAAATTGAACGTAATGTGATTATAATATAACGTAAATAGATATCATATGTACTGTACAAACAGGAAATTTTTCTTATTTATCGTAAAGATTTACAAAGTTTAAATAATCGCTCAAAAATTCGGGAAATAAAAGATAATTTAGAAAATTTATTTGATGATCAAAATAATACAAAGGTAATCTTTATTTGTTTTTTAAATTCGAATAAGTTAGAAGTAAATGGGAAATAAATAGAGAGAGAGATTTTCTGTTCAAGAAATCGCTAATTATATATTGGTTTTTATTCGAATAGATAAAAACGACACACTGGGGTGGACATTTTGTTTAGTTTTCTTTCATCTATACTAAAAGAAATGTTTAATATGGCTCTAAAGACATTCTATTGATATATAATAATGAAATTTATTACAAATCATTGAATTTTATTATTTAGGGTTTATTATATAAGTTAAAACTGAATTCCTAGAGGATACACATTCAAATGATTTAATATAAATTACTATAAACAAGAAATACATCTTGATATTAAAACTACTGGTAGAGTAATATAATTAAAAAAAATAAATTTATTTTCAGAAAAATTGATTTATAAATGAAACCTGCTATAGGAAATTATTTTATTATTAATATATGAATTATAACTTTAACGAATCAGTAACAATTTTTATTGATTTCAAGTATTGATCTGTACTAAAATTTTTGGTTTATAGATTTTATAATGGCTTTGAATAATGCTTTAAACTGAAACAATCAATTTTACAATAAGTCTCTCGATTATGATATGTAC